TTGCCAATCCCCAGTGTTTCCGGGGGGGGGGGGGACATTCCTCTTACCTAGAGGGGTATTTAGCCATACCAAGAGTTTTTGTTTCATTTGTCCAGCTTTTGGATTTTGATCAAGGTGAGTAAAATTCCATGTGCAATGCACAGAGCATTGAGAATCTGTTTCATTAAATCTGAATACACATTACTAATTCCACTTGTAATGTGAATTTACCAGCTATTCAACAAAAATTATTTTATGAACAGTTTTAAAGATATTTTGGGACATACGCTTATTTTCCTCCCGGCAGAGTTAAATGAAAAGATTAATACCCTTCTGTTCATTAAATGTAAGGCTTCAGCCACCAGCTGGTTATCTTATCTTAGCATAAAGCCTGAAATAAGGGGGAATCAACTAGCCTGGCTCTATTTGTCTTGTTCTTTGTCATTTTGAAATTTCTGTTTTTTACAGATTAAACTTAACACAACATACGAAGTTAATTAGTAGTTCTGGTAGGCTGGTTTTGTTATCATTTGGAAGACGGACATCTGAGTGCTACCTGTCTTCTCAGTCTTGTTTTAAAAACATCTAGTATCATTTGTTGCAACTCATGGCTAAACTTTTGTTGTCTAGGCGAGTGAGGAGGGTGTCCACTTTATAGTGTCTCGTCAGATCTGCCTGCCTAACCCAGACATCCTTCAAGAAGCTCCGTGGGGCATGGAGGGTCCCCCACCATATTCCCCAGTGGATATAGAGCAAACACTGCTGGTGAGCAGCACATACAGACACACACATTGGACATGACAACAGTACCAATACACAGAGAAGAGCTTTGTTCCACTGCCTCCCCTTCCTGTGATAAATATTCCCTTTCAGGTGCAAATGATCCATGGAAGTATTATACTCCCATCAAAGCTGAGCATATCATTCAGGCAGTGCAGCAGGCAGTCTTCTCTTCTCACAGAGCTGTTGCTTTCACATCAACCATCTTTCTTTTTTCGATACACAGAAAACATCCCCTCACCTCGCGGGAATGTCTTCAGCTATAGTTCTCCTTACTGAACTCAGTGAGTTCTTGTTCTAATAATGATCATTTTGACACCTCCTTCTCATTTTTTTGTTCCAAAAAAGCACAGGTACTGTGTAGTGCAACTCATACAACTAACCAAGAACTGACTGTGTAACAAGTCAAAAATAATCAAATTTAATGATTTGGTTTAATTGAAAATCTGTATTAATTATGTTTATGACCAAAAACACATTATTGCCTGAACACCTGTAGGAATTGTTTGTGTTAAAATCAGGTAATAACAGTCAGAGAAGTAAACTTAATTTTAGAAATCACCTCACACCTAAATTAAATTAAAAACAGATGTGTCAGTGGGTGGAGTTGAATTGTGGTGTTCTCTGGTTAGTCATTTCAAATGTTGTTCAGTTATTACCCAGTTTAGGAAATTGTAAACAGATCAAATAACTGAACACCGTGAGCTTAAGGAGTAATGCTTGAGTTTAGTCATTGGCAGACCATTATAACCATTATGTTTTAAGAAGGGATCGGGTAATATAACAGTATATAAAAAAAATTCTCCCTGCTCCTTTTTAATTATGCAATGTGTGTCTGTGCAGATACTCAGCCATCCAGGTCATGGTGTGTCCAAAAGTGCCACCTGTAGCACTTCTGGACATGGAATGTGTATTCAGTTGTTTTTAAATGTGGCTTACCTATAGTAGGTGCTGTGGCAGCAGGTGTGGACAGTGTTCACACAGCTATACCCAGTGTCATGCTCTGAGGTCACTCGTGTGACTCCCAGTGTTCTCGTGCTGTGAGCGCAGCAGAAATGTATGAATGCAGCACATTAGTGAAGCAGTCCACTCTCTCAAAATCTCACTCACTTTATCCCCCACACAGCCTTGTTCACCAAATGGAACAGTTTCTATGAATAAATCAGTTTCTCTATCGCTACAATATCAATCGTGAACACAAAATGAAGAGGTGCTTGAGCTGCCTGATGGCCCACCCCAACAACCATCATATATTTTATATTACCAGTGATAATGATGGTATTCATTAATTAGCAAGAATTTCTATATCCTGCCATTAAGGGGCTTTTGCAAGTCCTATGGAAAACAGTCCTCATTAATATGCAAATGTACTGCTCTAAAATCTGATTAGACTGTGTAGTCTATTGAATGTGCCCTTGGTGTAACAATTACATTCATGTCATGTTCTGGCTTGAGTTACTGTGTTTTGTAAGAATGTGAATGCACAAAGAAAAACACTTCACATCAGTTATGAATGCCTAGCATGTTTTTATATCTACTGTCATGGCAGTACATGATAATGAGATTTAAAAAAAAACCAGCCCTGTTGCTTTAAGAGTTAGGAATTTAATAATAGTAATTTAACTGTTAATAATTTACAGTATCCTCCACTTCAACTATCCTGTCTCTGTTTTCTGTCCCCTGTGAAGGACTCCTGTCAGAAGCCCGCATGCTATGAGAAGACAGTTACTCTGGCCAAGGAGCCGTATGACTCCCTGGGTATGACAGTGGCAGGGGGCATGTCCAGCCGAGGGTGGGACCTCCCCATCTATGTCACAAACGTGGACTCTGATGGAGTGGTGGGACAGGAGGGCTCCATCCGCAAAGGTAAAAGTGAATTACTATTAAACCTTTTGATGTCTTTCTGTTAAACACCTGCACACTCAATCTCAGAATGTTACTTATATTTATTTTTCAAGAAATGTTATGTGGTTGTCACTGACTGCAAAAAAACAAAAACAAAAACGCAGCTCACGCTATGGCAGACGGTGTCAGGGATTTGGCTTTGGCTCCAAATGCTTAACAGACATGATTGATGAACAACTAAGATTCGTGTTTCATTATGAAGGTTATTCATCCAGCAGAAAACTCAGTAGTGCTGCTGTGGTTCAGTGCTCCACAAATTAGATCTAACACACTTAAACCAAAGCACAAACAAATATTAGGACTTACTGTGCTCCAGAAGAGAATTTGTGGAGTACTTAATTATTTTCTTAAATGAAATCAGTGAGCTCTGAAATGGAGAAAAACACAGAGTGGCAGAAAAATAACTGGCTATAATAGCAGCAGTCATGATATGCTGTGATGCAGTTGAAGGCACTGGGAGTGAGAGATTTGAGCCCCAACTGCTGATTCCAGCATATTCATCTTAAAACATAACCACTGTAAGCCTGTCATTACACCCAGTCCACCCTGCCTGAGGCTCTGTTTACAAGAAGGGTGAGAGAAATGCTGTGATGGAGCATAACTGCAGCACAAAGATTTCACAAAAACAGAAATAAAGTGGGTCTGTTTGTCCTGTGCTTGGTTCAAGGTGCATATTACTGTATTCCTATGGGACATAGCTGCAGCAGCTGTCTCTGTTTGTGTGGTTATGAAACATGTTTGTGTATTGTAATAGACGGTTCATTTGTATATCCTCACAGGGCAAATGTCCTTTGAGTTGTTCACCAACAAACTGGACCAATCTGTTTTATTTTACACCACTTTCATCACTGTGAGGCTTTTTAAAGCACAGGTGGCACTTTGTTTCCATCCCTTTGTGTTCTAGCAGGGAGATTGTTGAATATTAAATAGGCGACTGATGAGTCCCTGTCCTTTGAGGCCTCTTAAAAAAATAACATCAGGGCAGCGACCCTGTGTGGATGATGAGCTGTGCTGTCTGCTTCCTCCCCATCAGGTGACATCTTGCTAAATGTGAACGGGGTGGATTTGACAGGGGTGACAAGAAGTGAAGCTGTGGCCAACCTGAAAAACACCTCCTCTCCCGTTGTACTCAAGGTCTTGGAGATGCGTCCTCCTGAAGAAAGTCTACAAGAGTGCACATTGCCGCCCTGTCTCACACCCTCCCCCACAGACAGCACCAAGAGCCCGCTGCCCAATGATGATTACTCCCCGCTGTGGGTGTCATGGCTGCAGCTACCCAGGTGAGCTCTCTGTGGTGTCTCTGTATCCATTCAATAACATTTTAATACTTTCACTGAGCTCAGTATAATTTACACCCCACCCATGCTGTTCCCTCTGACCCCTGCCAGCGGGTGCCAACTGAAATTCTGACAGAGCCAGCTGGCAAAGAATGTGCATTATACATTCTAAACAAACTTTTCAGCTTATACATTCACCACAGTTATAAGAATGAAAAATATGCTGTCAGTTTGGAGCATATGAATTTATTTTACAACAGTGTGTTGTCAGGAAGACAGTGGTGTGCTGGCAGCAATAAAGAACTGCTGCTCCTTCTGAAAGAGAAATAATGTGTTTCTACCAGAATAGTGAATTCATTAGGACTCAAAACCAACTACTGAGCCATCATGGGAATATCATTTAGACCAGTGGTGCAACTAAAAGATTCTGAATGTGATTTTTGCTCATTCCTGGGCTATCTGCCTGGGACTGATACAGAAGTCCCACTATCTCATTGCTTCACATTTCTTTGGGGGGAGAGTCCTCCCTTCATTCAAATGGCTGCCAGGCCTTCATCTTCTCCTGGTTGCAGCTACATATATGTATAGCCTCTGCACACATACTCAGTCTGGTTATACAGTATTACATATACTTTAAAGATACAGTTGAGCTGTTTTTTAATCCCCTTTCTGGCCCATGAAGGCACCTCTACTGCTGCAAAGATATCGTCCTGCGGCGGAGTACTTCAGGCAGCCTGGGCTTCAGTATTGTGGGAGGTCAGGAGGAGGTCAACTGCAATCAGTCCTTTTTTATCCGCTCCATTGTGGAGGGGACACCAGCCTACAATGATGGCAGAATAAGGTATTGAGCCTTTTTTTGTTTACATCTATAAAATAATTAGTAGTGGTTTGCTTCAGTGCATCTTCTTAAATGGTCATCTCTATGTAGGTGTGGGGACATTTTGCTGGAGGTGAACGGGAAGACTACATGGGGCATGACCCATACAGCGTTGGTGCGCCTTCTGAAGGAGCTTCGAGGCAGGATCACTCTGACCATTGTCTCCTGGCCAGGGAGCTTGCTGTAGCAGTGCCCCCAAACCAGCCAGCACTGTTTTACGTGGCATTGACCAAGGAATGTAGAAAGCAGATCTTTAGACTGGCTGATCACCCTAAGCTTGCTGTGTGGGAGAAGCTTAGAATAGAGCTGTAGCTGTATGGATATCTCACTTCTGCTGGACAGCTGAGACTATGCCAGGAGTTTAGAGAGAGACAAACAAAAGACTGGCTCATTACCAGAGGTTAACATGCCCGTTCGAGAACGTAAAACTGGGAGGATCCACGGCCTGAGCCACTTCTAACTAGGATGTTGGGCGTTATCTGTTTAGAGAACATGATTCATTCTCTGGCACAGCATCCAGTGAGCAGGGTGGGTGGATGGAGAGGAGACACAACATGTTGCCAATTCCAATAGTTACATATTAGGGTATGTGTTAAGCTGTAAATGTTGGGTGTCTAAAAAAAAGTACTGATCCAAGTACTTGTAATATGTTTCTTTTGTTTGTTTGTGGTTTGGCCTTTACATATAGGCTCCATTCTGTTTGTACTGACAGTGGTTGCCATCTTCATCCGTTGACCTGAGGAATGTTGCCAAGTAGTAGTCTGTCTTGAGTTGTATTTTTTTTTTTTTTTATTTCAGATGCTATGGCGAACTTATCAAACCACTGACAAGAAAAAATCTATAAAAAAATAAAAGATCAATGTGTTCACAACATGTTAAAAATACTATTTAATTAAGTGACATTGTGGAGGCCTTACTACTTTTCTTACTTTTAAGAAAAAAACTGACTCGGTTTCTGTGTATCAGTGGATGGTCTGGGGCTCGTCTGATGTGATTCTGTCTGTCGCGCTTCAGCCTGTGTAATATATCTGATGGTAGATTTGGAAAAAATGATCAATAAAGTCCCTGAAAAAGAGCTGTGTGAGAAAACTCTTACTTAAAAGCCTCACTTCAACTCATCAAAAACTGCTAAGTGTCTCTAATAAAACATTTTTTGATACCACATACTGTTGGCCAGTTCATCTAATTAAAAAGATTGGAGCAATTGAAAGTCAGTCTGATTCAGTCCCTTTTCATGGCCAGAACGTTGATGTCCTTGTCCTTCACATTTCTTGGTCTTTTTGTGTCTGTGTCTGTTCTCATTTTCCCTCACTATGGTCCCTGCTGCTGCTGTTCACATGAAAATTCCATTGTCTTTCATTCTGTTTTTAAAGGAGTATCTGTGTATGTGTGTCTCTGTTGACCCGTGTGATGATTTTTCCATTCCTTGCTCTTCTGCCTCATCTCTCGGTGCCTTTCTTCCTTTTCTCCACTGACTCCCTGAAAACTGGCATCTGTGCCCTCACTCCATTGTGTCCCGGTGCCTCATTGGATTCTCTCCACTGAAAAATACGATACACACATGCTGTGTACTTTTTCCATTTGCTATTGATAAAACTACAAAGAGGAAAAGAGCTCATTCCCCAGAGGAATGTGACTGCTGGCCTTTTTCCTCCTCCTCCACTGGGAGAGAGATAAGTCAGAATTCAAGAGACCAAAACTTTAACCACAGTGCCTGCTGTGTGCCTGCCTAAGCTTTGGTAACCTTGTCCCTGGTCCAGACTTTCAGTAATAAAGAACCCAATGCTATCACAGCATGCCTTTTACATTTACTGTAAATCAAGCAGCAATGCTGCAGTATTCTCTGAGAAACATTTTTGCTGTAGGACCTGCAATACTGTGACAATAAGATAAGATAAGATAATCCTTTATTGTCATTGTAACACGTACAACGAAACTTTAGAGTGACCTCCAGTCGGACACTACAAGACAGATCAGTCATTACTTCATTCTTTTTCATTTCTCCCCTTATACGACCTCTGAAAACACATATGTAAAAACATATCCATGCAAAGAGGAAATGTGACAGTGGAGAGAATGGGCAGATTTTACCCAAACATTTATGACTCAAAAAAGCAAATAATGTAATGTTGGTTGGAATGAACAACTGCAAACAGGTCCCGCTAAAACATGTACTGCATAGTGCAGTTCCCAAAATGAGTGCTGCCTTAAAGGACAGGCTACCCTAAGCTTAACAATCAATATTGAAATCAGCATATTAAAAACCCTATTAAATCTGCAATCATGCCCCAGTTACAGCTCATGGTTGTTGGTTGTTCATAGCAAACATGCTTTTTGGAACACAAGTACAGTATATACAGTACATAGAGTGTGTAAAAATAAATATGGAGCACAATAAATATTTGTAACTGCAAATACAGCTCTAAGACAGGATTATACACCTCATCAAATCTGGGTTCACAGTGAAATCTCCATGGTCTATAGTTTTTTTATGGACAGGGGAAACCAGCTGTCTCACACAGACATATCTCATCTAGAGGAAAAAAAAGTGTTATAAACAGCAAAGGTGCCAAGTAAGCTCAAGAAATATCTTGAAACAAAATGTACCTCTCTCTCCTTAAAAAGGTAAAAATAAAAAACAATTAAATTAATTTTAGTTTTGAATAGAATAATAGAAGAATGAATATGTGTGTGTGTGGTTGTTCGTCTGCGTGTTGGCTCTGCGATATAATGCGCAGTATCTTAGCTGTTCCTAGCACTCCACTCTTCTGGACAGAGATATCAGATGTTGTTCCTGGGATCTGTTGGAGCCACTCTCCCAGTTTGGGGGTCACAGCCCCCAATGTTCCTATTACCACAGGGACCACTTGTGCCTTCACCTTCCACATCTTTTCTAGCTCCTCTATCAACCCTTGGTATTTCTTGAGCTTCTCGTGTTCCTTCTTCCTGATGTTGCTATTGCTTGGGATTGCTACATCTATCACTACGGCCTTCTTCTTCTGTTTGTCCACCACTACTATGTCCGGTTGGTTGGCCATTACCAGTTTGTCAGTTTGTATCTGGAAGTCCCACAGGATCTTAGCTTGGTCATTCTCAACCACCTTTGGAGGTGTATCCCATTT